CCACCAAAACTATCCCGAAGTAAGTCGCGTTGGCAAACTTGACTGATTTACCCATTTTTAGGCAGCTGATGGCCACTTGGAACGTATCAAAAAGGACGAACCTGGCAAGGATAGTGGTTGCGCAACGTTCGTTGTGACTCTACAGTTCAACCGCGCCGGCAGTTTGATTGCAATTGGCTGCAATGACGGACGTGTAGAGATATGGGACTTTATTACTCGTCGGATCGCAAAAATTCTCGTGGCGCACTCACATCCCGTTTGCTCGCTGAGGTAGGTTCTCTCGCTTCCATGACATTGCCTGCAGTTGGAGCCGAAACAGTCGTCAACTACTCAGTGCTTCCACGGATAACAGTGTTTCTGTCTGGAATGTGATCACGGGCGAGTGTGAGAAAACGTTTACTTTCCCTTGCCCAGTAATGAAGGTCCAGTTTAATCCAAGGAAAGCTACTGAGGTACTCGTCTGTCCTCTACGCCATCCACCTGTTCTGATTGAGACAGATACAGGAACCCCGACTATCATCCACCCCGAGGATGATGTAAGTTCGCCTAATAATTTTTTCCATGTACCTGGTTTAAAATGGCCATATTGAGTATCACGCCAAAATATTAGTGCAAATATTTACGTTACTGACTATACTGGTTTGAAAAAAACTTAGAAAAATCGCGCTGTGAAGTAATATTGGATTTCCTGAGCATTTGAATTTTGAAGCCGTCAGCTGTGGGGTTAGCATCTGTTTAGTGACTTTCAAGGGTTTTATGCTACTCGTCATTCGGTTTGATTAAATTGCACGACTGAAGTTGATCACTTTAATTTCTGCAAGGACTTCCTTTGAATTGTCTGCTGTTGATAATTTTCACATGTTTTAAAACCAGCCTTCTTCTATTTTTCACTCCACTTCCAGCCATGCCGAGGTTTATTTCACATTTTTCTGTGCCTGTATTCATCACCGCTCTGACGCCGCATCCAGACCAGATGCGAATGAATGATTTTATTTATCGGGATTGACTTCATATAGTTTTGTTAAGACATCACCACAAACGTCGAAAATAACTCGTGTCTGTGGGCATGTCTGGAAGGACGTCTGAGTGATCGAGCCTACACCAATGCCTTAAATATTTCGGCGTCTGACTAGCTGATTGTCCTCCGTGCGCTGTGGACATAAATCAATCGAGGTCGCATTGACAAGACTCTTAAGACATCCTTAGTATGCATTCTCTCTAATGGACCTGTGATTATTTGTCCGCCGGATGATGGGTTGTGTGTAGGTTTGTTTATGCAGTGTGTGGTCACGGAAGGTCTCCCGGCGTCCTTTGTGCTTTTTCTGAACTTAGTGCTGCTTGCAACTTTTACCCATAGAGCTCAGACCCTAAATCCTATCGCAGTATTAGTGGGAAGCAGGCGTACTACACTAAGCTCTTCATCTTTGAAAATCAGATCAAGTCAATGTAACGAATGCCGACGAGCCTAACGATTTGATTTTACTTACCGAACGGTTATTTTTGAGACTCAGAAAGCATACTGCATCCGGCTATAGCTTAATAGCTACAAGTTCTGTTAGGACTGGGTACTATAATGCATTTACTGGTTCAGTTTCTAATGAGCTGCGCAATCCCATTAAAGCCCAAGGATGCCGAATTGTTCGTTTTCCTTAAGCCACGCTGTTTCATAGACCGTCATTTTGTCTTCTTCCTTTATTTCCCTTTTGTCCTCGACAGAACGACTTCAGCATTGTGGCCTCTTATGATCGCCGTGGTGCACGTATATACTCCGGCAACTCGAAGGGAAAGGTGAGCCATTGAATAACCACGTCGCTCGTCTGGACTTTTAAACTCGGGCAAATTTACCCCAACTTGCACTCATCACCTTGGCTGACATAAGCCCCTTTTTAGTCATTTTCGTTCTCAACGCTCTTCCTTTTTTTCTTAGGTTTGTATATACGACTCAAAAACTCTGACGCTGCTAAACAGTTTCCGATCAACTATGACGGCCACAAATGCAGCCGTGAAATCAATCGAGTTCTCCCGCCGTGGCGAGTAAGAAATACGTTTATTTATACTTTTGCAACATTCTGACTCTCCTCCATCCCTACCTTATTACTGGAGAGAACAATAGCTGTCCG